CCSYKKTGTGGCCCCATGAAGTCCAAAAAWATAAAAGATATTTCCTCCTACGGCACTAGCYGTTGCCTTTATTCATATTTGTACAATTTTGAAACARAAGGGTTGACAAAATTTTGAGGGGTCCTTCAAGCCTCAAGAAGAGGAGAATAATTGGGCTGATATATATGACAAGGATAATCCTATGTCTCTTATAGGGCAGCTGTTGTGTTCTTAGGTGGATGCTGGATAGGAGAGGCTGCCCTTTGGGCAAAACTGATAGTTGACAGTTTTAATCTTTGACTTTGATACCATGTGCTGAGGCTATATGTTGATACATGTAGCTTCAAATAACCGGGACAAAATATTCTAATACAGAAATCCTTGTGGATGGCCTTGTAATCCTTATTATGAAATGCAGCATATTTTTATCAGTCTCCTTAGCTTTCCAACTATGACCCATTTATATAGGATGTCTAAAATCGTCATTTGCAGAGGATATATAACATATTTGAAGGAGATAGCAAAAGATTCGATAGGCATATTGTTATCAGTTATTAGGTCTGCAATTTGGGCAACTGGAATAAGACTTATTTACGGTATTTAAGATCTATTTGGAGACGTTGAATTTATTTAAGATCTACATGTAGGTTAAAGAAACATAGATGATTCTTTTCTTTCCACCTGACAAGAAACATAGCCCCAACTATACTTGACATTTCATTGAAGAATTGCTCTACAGTCAAGTCATTTGTTAGATGAGATTTAGAGAAGGTTGAAGTAGTGATTAAGAGGGAAGAAGAAGAAAAAGTCATAGAGCCACTGATGTCTGAAAGACATAGAACAAAGGAGAAATAGGGTGTTAATGGTTCGGTTCTAGGGCAAAATAAAAGAGAAAAAAGGAGGAGGAGAGAAAGAGAAGAAGAAGAAGATGGAGAGAAACGGCTAAAGAGAATTCAAACTTTCTCYCAGCCAACCAGCTCTTTATTTATAGATTTTGTGATAGTAATACAAAGACATTTATGTCCCTCATTTAGTACGGGACTCATAACTTAAACTTAGAAAAAATAGACAAAGCAACTAACAATAAAACAAAGCATAAAACTAGAATACCCTCTTGACTGCCGACTCTAAYATAGGTAAAGTGAGAGCTTGGGCAAATGGCAGAAACAGCAAATGAAGAGGAGATTTACTTCAACATTACACTTATGTAACAAGCCAGACATAAYACGTTCACATACTTCCTGAAGATGCAAGTGTAAAAACTCGAAAGATTATTAGCTTTCTTTGTTTTGACTGCACTTTTTCTGACCCTCCTGCATAATCTCTTGGATCAACAGTGACATGTTTAAGTAAGACGACCCCTTTTCTTCAGTTGCCTTCTTTGCCTTCTGCCCAAGCTCACTTGCCTTATTTCTTCTTTCTTCTCC